CGGCCCTGCCTGCGTCATATATTGTCGCAAGAGATCGGCAATGTTATATTTCGCTGTGTAAAGCAAAATACCCGTGTAGCTCCCTAATCTGTAAAATTCATTCATTACTACATTATGGTGAATGTTATAAAACAAACTAAATCTTGAAAATTTTTGTCGTTTGGTCAAGAAAAATCGCAGAACCTAGCTGACGCGAACCGGCTTTGGTAACCAGAAGCGAATGACAACAATGCAGCTGAGAGAATAAATCTTTCTCACGCATTACACGTTTACATTGGAATATTTTCCAGCATATTCATTTTTCTACAACTATCACAAAATGATATAACGCACTTGTTAGCTTCAAACAATTTCTGGTTTCAGCAGGAAAAATCGCAAAAGACAACTCGTTGCAACTCGTGGTGAACTCAAAAATCTGGGTGGGCATTGGAATTCTTCTGCAAATCCGCTTAGTCTGATGTAAATGCATTTTTTTTTAATAGAAGATGTGTGCCAGCATATTTAAAATTTTATAATGCTTCATGGTCGTATTTTTTTCGCGGAAAAAGTATTTGAAATTGCTCTGTGTGTAGAATGATACTAGGAATGATAGAATGACTAACACCCCGGATTTTATTGTTTCATATTGAAATTTCCCGTAGTTTAATTTCACATTCACTTTCAGATTCGCACTAAAACATGATAATCTGAACAAATAAGCTGCTGCAACAGTTTTAATGCAGCCCATAACTTAAAGATTTCCATTCATCTACATCATTATGCACTTCATTTAACGCGGTTTTCATTGCGATTCACAACTGTGTGCGTGCAGGAAAAATCGAAAAAGACAGACCATCAAGACGTGAATTCATGCTGCGCCATATTTACGTTTAGAGTAAAATTGGCTTATTTTTATTAATTTTTTTAAATGTATACACAGGTTTTGCGACCGCCGACAGCGTCGATTTTTCACTCCTGCTTAGTTTCTCATGCGAAACAATTATGTTAAGTACATAAATACACAGCGTATATTAATATCGTTCGGCTCACCACAAACTTTTGTTGAGTGCCGATATTTATTGGACGTAACTCTGCAAGATGCTGTTGTTAAAATTCCAAAATGTAATACGATCCGATATGAAGTCTGCGCTCATGTCGAATATTTCACTCAATATAGACAGCAGCCACAACAAAAGAACAACAATGATGACATAATATTAACATTAAATGTTGAAAATAGAGCAAAAACCTTTATAATAAAGGCTCACCTTTGAAATTGCCCAGTTACAGCGCTTCGAATTTTATACAACTTGTCTCGGCAAACACTTGTTTAGTGTCACTGAACATCACACGCACGTGAATCATAATATAAAGAAGCCGACCGAAGTGCGTTATGGTAAAAAATACCGGCGACCATAATGCATCGCGCTTGGTTAAAATTCAGATTTCAACCCCTATTCCAAAGTCTAGGCCTGCTGCCTTGCTTGGTCGCTTCAGGCGACCTCGCTGCGGCAGCAACAAGTAAGACTGTATTCTTCTATACTTCTGTATACTACTTCTAAGCTAAATTTTGGGTCACATTCTTTGGTACTCCCATGCACCATATACATCCACATTAATATAAAACAACAATATACTTTTTACTGTGACTAAAACGTATACCAGTATATGATCAGATTTTACTATACTTTTATCCACGGTGGTCTGTGGCTGAAAAGCATACCAGATTTCAGTATACTTTTTAGCGACGGCCGTCTGTGGCTAAAAAAAGTATACCAGATTTCAGTATACTTTTAGCCACTGAGGTCTGTGGCTAAAAAGTATACGAGATTTCAGAATATACTTTTTAGCATCAGCGGTATACTTTTCAGTATACTTTTAGTTAACCACGCGGCAGTCTGTCGGCTAGGATCTATACCAGATTTCAGTATACTTTTTAGCCACGGCAGTCTGTGGCTATAAAAAGTATACCATGCAGATTTCAGTATACTATTTAGCCACGGTGGTCTGTTGCTAAAAAGTATACCAGATTTCAGTACACTTTTAAGCCACGGCCGTTTATGACTAAAAAGTATACCAGATTTTAGTATACTTTTAGCCACTGAGGTCTGTAGCTAAAAATATACGATATTTCGGAATACTTTTTAGCGTCAGCGTTATACATTTCAGTATATACTTTTTAGCCACGGCAGTCTGTGGCTAAACAGCATACCAGATTACACTATACTTTTTAGCCACGGCAGTCTGTGGCTAAAATGATACCAGATTTCAGTATACCCTCAGTTAACCACGGCGGTCTGTGGCTATAAAGGATACCAGGTTTTAGTATACCTTTTAGGCACGGCGGAGTGTGGTTATAAAGGATTCCAGATTTTAGTACTTTGGCTATAAAAGAGTCCTGATTCCAGTATACTTTTTAGCAACGGGTGAAGTATTTTGTTTTTAATTTTCTTTGTTCAGAAAGTGGGCGGCAAAATATTTCAGTTGCTACGAACAGAATGTCTGTACTCCCCCACAAAGTCACAATAATAGTTAGTTATATTACATGCAGTATTGAAATTCTTCAGGAGATGTTGCCTTTTATGTGTAAATGTTTGGGTCTGCAACTTGCGAGGCGCCCAAAACATGCGAATTGCGACATGAATGTAATGAATACATGGGAGTTAAACATGTACCATTTTAACAAAGTTAATTCCTGTTCAGGTAGAATTAAATCTTTCACATTTCACACCCCAACTACAGCTGCCGTTGGCTATTAGATACCTGAATATATATATATATATATATTTCGTTTTTATATGTATTAGTTTTTTGTTTTACCTCAAAAAACCACAACAGTCTGTTTCATCCGTATAGGAATCATCAGGTATGAACGCTTTATCTATATATGGTATTGAGCACTGTTTGTGTTTCGTAAACCAAAATCTTAAATCTATATAAATATATATATATATATATATATATATATATATATATATATATATATATATATATATATATATATATATATATATATATATATATATATATATATAAATATATATATATATATATATATATATATATATATATATATATATATATATATATATATATATATATATATATATATATATATATATGTTTCTGAACGAAACAAGAAAAATACTAAATAGACAAAATGACGGTAACTGCTTGCAAGTACGTAGAAAATACAGGTTGTTAACGCTAAAGGAGGCGGAAATACAGCTGTTTTGCTGAACGACCAACGCGCTATATAATAGAACCCCTACAAGATGATGAACAAAGAGGTTAAATAATTGAAATATTTTTGTTAGTCTTTCTACCTCGTTCTAGCAACTTCAAGGCAATTCCAAATGAAGGCACTGTTCGAAACTACGTAAACAATTATTTGAATAACAAAAGACTAGTGTGCTTGACATGACATCTGATATAGGCTATCAACGAGGAATGAGGAATGTCATAGTTGTTGTTGACTATGATACTGACCTAGTCACTTCGTGCCCAACAAGCATACATGGATGAAAAAATTAATGTCTCAGTAACGGTAGAACAGCTAAGAGCAGCAAGAAACGACACATCAAAGCAACTACTCCCTCTGGTCAAGCTTGGCAAATATTACTTAAAAAAGGCGAAGACAACCGCAAATGGGGCTGATTTCACAAAAGCCGACGCAATTTTCAATGCTGCTCTTGTAAGATCGAGACTTGTGAACGATGAAAAAAGCGAAAACGAAATACTTCAAGAAATCGTTGATATTTATCGCGAATTTCTGTTGTCTTTGGCAAATGATGTGGAGGTCAGCTGTGTAGATGAGATTCGCAACGAAATTGATTCTCATAAGGAGTTCGTAGCCAACGAGAGACGGGTCTTCAAAGAGCGTCTTGATGAAATCGATTCTTGCTTCAATACGACTGATAAAACCGAGGATGAATATAAGGTATATTTGAAAATTAAAGTGTAATTTATGTACTATTTAAAGCACGCGTAGGAGTGTTTTATCACATATAAAACACGACGCGTAGCGGAGTGTTTTATATGTGATAAAACACGACTACAAGTGCTTTAAATGGCTTCAAAAACGACTCCTCTTATACGAGTTCATTGGCGAAGTAATTTTTAAAATAAACTTTGTCTAAACCGAGAAAATCAAAGCTAAAGTTTATGTAAATTAACATGATTTTATATCACATATAAAACCACGACACGCTTATGATTTTTCTTTGTGTTTTGCTCCTGAATTATTAATGAGTTTTTTAAATCTTTTTAAGGATTCATATAAGGGAAAATTATAAGAAATTAATACGCGTATGTATGTCGCTTATCAGTCGGAATACATCACCACACGTCGGTTTAGGAATTTAGTCATTGTTTTCAATCTTTTTCATGTCGCCGTTCCAATTTAGATAAAGTCCGTATAAAACTGTCAACCTCTAGTATAGAGAATATACAGTTTCGACCTAGACCAAGTCATAAATTGTTTCCCTTTCCGTCATTCAAATTCGGCCACCGAAAATCTGCGTGATTTGTTAAATTCTTAAATATTTATTTTTCCCGAAATATTCAAGCTGTTTGTCACTTTGCTATCTTGAAATTTTGCCCTTGAGCAATTCAAGATTTGCTTTAATTAACCAGTGTCTTATGGGTTTACTGTTGGTCGAGTGTTGAATGTCGAAGGCGAGGGTAAAATGTCGAGGATAAAAAGTCGAGGGTCAAATGCCGACTATTACATGTCGAGGGTAAAAAATAAAAAAAAACTATATTAAGGTCAGGTGACCGCTTCGGATAAGGAAATAGCAACGTCTACGTGATCTTCTCGGCAGGGCTGTAAATACTCGTTACAATTGTAACACGTTACTGTGTACTCGTTACATTTGAAGTAATCTTAACCTGGCGTAATTAATTACGTTTTTAGAAATGTAATGCTAATAAAAAGGGCGGTGGAGTAGGAATTTTTATCTCAAATAATTTAAACTACAAACTACGAACTGACCTAAATATAAACGAAGACGAAATAGTTGAATCACTTTTCATTGAAATTATTTCAACAACTGGTAAAAATATAATTGTTGGTACTATCTACAAACCGCCAAGTGGTAATTTTGAAATGTTTGAAAATAAACTAAATGCAATACTAACCGAAGTTGACAAAACAGGGAAAATAACATATTTGACAGGGGATTTTAACATTGATCTTTTGAAATCTGATGATTGCGATTATTCCAATAGATTTTGTGAGCAACTTTTTACTTCATCTTTTTATCCGCTGATAAATAGACCAACTAGAATTACGCAGCATACAGCCACGTTAATTGATAATATCTTTACAAACAATCTTGAACAAATAGAATCTGGTGGAAATGGACTAATTTTCTCAGATATTTCAGATCATCTCCCCATATTTCATATAGCTTCTTCATCCACAAATAAAAATAATACAAAAAGAGGAAATGAACATAGAAGAATGGTCGACAAAGATAATCTTGCTTCGTTTTTATTATCTGTGAAAAATATATCGTGGGAAAGTACTTTCGAAACCAATGACCCTTGTGAATCCTATACGAATTTTCACAATAATTTGAAGGTAGCAATTGATAAATGTTTTCTTTTAGAAAAAATAAAAAAGAAAACTGTGGATCACACAAAAAGTCCCTGGATGACAATTGGTATATTTAAATCTATATCCAAGAAAAATAAACTCTATAAAAATTTTCTAAAAAAGTCATCTTATAGAAATGAGACAGCCTATAAAAAATACAAAAACAAACTGAATCACGTAATAAAAACCGCAAAAAAGGCCTATTATGAAACACAATTTCTTAAGTATAAAAATGATATTAAAAAGACATGGCAAACTATTAACGAAGTTCTTAACAGAAATAAAACTAGATCAAAACTACCAGATACTTTTTTACAGAAGAATTCAAATAATGTTTCAAATCCTCTGGAAATTGCTAACAAATTTAACGAATATTTTGTGAAAATTGGTCCACAACTAGCCAAAAAAATTCCCAAAAATGATAACATAACGTATGAAAGCTACCTTAATGGTAACTATGTTGAAAGTATGTTTATAGAACCTGTGACTGAATATGAGCTGCAAGTTGAGATTAATAACTTAAGTGAAACTAAAAGTGCAGGACATGATGACATAAGCGCGAAAATGATAAAGATCATCAGTGAAGAAATAATTAAACCTCTAACATATATTTATAATCTATCATTTGAAACTGGAAAAATACCAAATTTTTTAAAAATAGCTTTAGTTACTCCTATTTTCAAAGCTAAGGAAAATAATCTATTTGAAAACTATCGACCTATATCGGTATTAACTTGTTTTTCAAAACTACTTGAAAAACTTATGCACAAGCGATTAATTAACTATGTTGAAAAACATCGTATACTTTCAGAACATCAATTTGGTTTTAGAAAAAATAGATCAACTAAGCATGCCATTCTTGAACTAACCGATAAGATATCCAAAGCAATAGATGAAGGTAAATATACTGTAGGTATTTTCCTTGATCTCTCTAAAGCCTTCGACACTGTCAATCACGAAATTCTCATAAAAAAACTTCAACACTATGGAATTAGAGGTATAGGTCTACAATGGTTTATAAATTATTTACAGGAAAGAACTCAAATGGTCAAATATAAACAACATAGGCCAACTGAAATGAGTGTTAGGACTGGCGTCCCACAGGGTTCAATTCTTGGACCACTACTATTTCTAATATACATTAATGACATTGAAAACTGCAGTAAAATTCTTTCTTTCGTCTTATATGCCGATGATACAAATACCTTTTATTCAAATTCGTGCCTAAAAACTTTAGCTAGTACTATACAAAATGAAATGAATGAAGTAGTGCAATGGCTTAACGCCAATAAATTATCAATCAATGCATCGAAAACAAAATTTGTCATTTTTAAATAAAAAAATAAGTCACAGCATCAAGAAATCATAGTAAAAATAAATAATGATATAGTTGAACAAGTACCTTGGGTAAAATTCCTAGGTGTATTAATTGATCAAGAGTTGACATGGAAGAATCACATCAACTCCGTTCTGAAAAACATAATTAAATCTGCGGGTCTGATTGCTAAACTAAGACATTTTACGAACAAAAACACTTCGAAATTGATTTATTATGCATTGGTCTATCCATACCTCACGTACGGAAATCTAGTTTGGGGAAGTACATACCCAACAAGGTTACAAAAGTTACTAAATGTGCAAAAGAAAATTGTACGACTAATCTGTTTTAAATCTTATATGGATCATTCTGAACCAATATTTTTACAATTGAAAATCTTGGATATCTACAAAATTAATGATTATCTATGCAGCTTATTCATGTATCGCTTCAATTATTGTCAAAATTTGCCGGACTTTTATAATGATTACTTCAAACAAAATAACGAACTATACAACTATACAACTATAATACTCGAAATTCTACCAAGTTACATGTGAGCTATAAGAGAACAAACTATCGCAAATACACTGTATTTAACAAAGGAGTTTCTATATGGAATTGCCTTGATGAAGAAATTAAAAATATTAAATCATATTTTTCTTTTAAGAAAACTGCAAAATCATATTACTTGATGTCTAGTTGATGTAAATATTTCAGGAATATTAATGACAGTATTCTGTAATGTACTAAATATTCCTTAAACATTTTCCATATTTGTTTGTAAATACTTTGTGTTTTTCATTGCAAATTGTCCTTATGTACATAATCTATTTTTATATTACTGAACACTAAAGCTATAGGGGCCTCGTCTTAAAAGTCCAACAGGATTTCCAGAGGTCTCTAGCCCGTTTATATATTCTTAAATATTCAACTTGTAAATATTATTTGTGGGTAAATAAAACTAAACTAAAAACTAAACAATGAAGTGTGGGTTTAAAATCTAATGTATTCAGGACACAATGTTTAGCATTTTTAAATACATTGATCGGACCATCTGACATTTGCCACTTACATTGTGGCATAGCCTCCTGCCCAGGCTCTTTACTTTCGGCAACCCTACACTGGGCAAAAAGTCGGATATTCCGACCTCTATACCACAGAATATGGTCTGGAATATTACTCATATTCTGGGGTATTCCCTTGGAATATTTGCAGAATACTTGTGATAATCCGCCCAGAATACGTCGGAATAAAATACATCTGATATTCTGGGCAGAATATTGTCGGAATAGAATTTTCAAATTTGTGCCATATAAGAGGCAAATACTTCATGTAAGCCTATTCAATGAAATGATAAGCAGTAAAAACCTTTAGCTTTTAATTACTAAATACTCAATAAGTAATATAATACGTGGTGGAGATATGCTCAGAAATATTGAAACGTGCATGATTACTTTTGAGTTATGTAGATCAAGTATTCCCAATTAATCAAGTGTAAAGAAATCGTAAATGACCAAAATTAACTTTGCTAGTTAAATTTTGGGTGCAAATTAATCGTGACAAAGAACCTGTCCCTCATTTGCTTATCTCGTATTAAAAGTATTAGCCGGGCCTCATTTCTGATTCTGATCAAGTCTATAATAGTAGAAACTGCATTAATTAAGGTTGTAAACAATGTGCAATGTACAGCAACATATAGAAAGCAAAGCTATCAGCACGAGACTAATTCACACTGAATAGTGTACTAAATAGGTATCAACATGCGCGCCAAAACACATAGATTTCAATTCCGATTCTATTTAAGGTGGCTCCCTAGGGTTTTATTTCCGGGGGTTACGTTCTTCGTATATATGTAAACTAAAACTCGTGTGACTTCAAAATACGAACGAACGTTGTGTTTTATATGGAACTCTTTTTTGAAACAAAAGTGTGAACTTTGCTTTAGTTGAAAGCATAAAAAGAGTTCTAAAAGCCAAAACGATACTTGGATGTGATGTGTCAAAAGAAGATAATGTAAACTTGTTTTTTTTTCAAGCGGTATTCT